ATAAAGGATTTATCATGCCAAGTTCCTCACCATGGAGAGCTCCAGTACTGTTTGTAAAGAAAAAAAATGAGAGTTTCAAAATGTGTATGTATTACTGGGAATTAAATAAGCTTATTGTTAAGAACAAATATCATTTGCCTAGAATTAAAGATATTTTTTATCAACTAGAGGGAGCTATTGGTTTCTCTAAAATTGATTTGTGTTCTAAATACCATCAGCTACGCATTAAGGAGGATATAGCAAAGACAGCTTTCATAATCAGATATGACCATTATGAGTTTGTAGTAATGTCATTTGGAGTTACAAATGCACCGACTGTATTTATGGATTTGATGAACATAATTTTTAAGCCATTCCTAGACAGATTAGTAATTATGTTTATATATGATATTTTAATTTACTCAAGAGATGAAAAGAGTCATTCCAACCATTTATAAGCAGTGTTGCAAGTACTTAAAGAGAACAAATTGTATGCTAAATTTTTAAAATATGAATTTTGGTTGAGCAGTTTAAACTTTCTTGGACATGTGATTAGTGGTGAATGCATTTCAATTGATTATAATAAAATTCAAGCCATTTCAGAGTGGCCAAGGACAACAACAATTTCAGAAGTGAGGAGTTTTCTAGATCTTGCTGGTTATTATAGGAGATTTGCAGAGGAATTTTCTCAGATTGCAATATCGTTATCCAGGTTAACTCAAAAGACGATAAAATTTGAATAGAGTAATCAATGTGAATGAGCTTTTCATAAGCTAAAGAACTGTTGAATGACTGGACCAATATTAACAATTCCATCAGGTTCAGAAGGATTTTAAATTTTCTATGATGCCTCATTGAGAGAACTTAAATGTGCACTAATGCAATATGATAAAGTAGTGGCATATGCCTCAAGACAATTGAAAATTCATGAAAGAAATTATCTAACCCATGATTTGGAATTAGTCGTTGTAGTTTTTAAACTCAAAATATGGAGACATTATTAATATGGAGTTGGATGTGAAGTATTTACAGATCATAAGAGACTCAAATACATTTTAAATCAAAAAGAACTTAATTTGAGACAGCGAAGATGGTTATAGCTTATCAAAAACTATGATTTGGATATATAGTATCATCCTGAAAAGACAAATGTAGTTGCAGATGCACTTAACAGAAAAACTCTTGGATATGCAAATTGGTTAATCACCCACCAGGAACAAATAATCAGAGACATGAAAAAACTTGAGATTTTAGTGGTCAATCAGAAAGAGACTAAAGATATGTTATTAAATCAGCTGGTGATCCAATCTATTTTAAAGGATAGAGTACTCAATTCACTGTCTCAAGATAAAAAAGTTCAAGACATCATAAAGAAAGTGCAAGTATGATAATTAGAGAATTTTGTAATTGATGGAGAATGACTACTAAAGTATAAAGGCAGGATTTGTGTTCCAAATGTTGATAATTTAAGAGAACATATATTCATGAAGCTAACCTCTCAAGATATGAAAATCATCCAGGTAGTACAAAAATGTATCAAGAATTGAGAAGATTTTTTGCTAGCTAGGATTAAAAAGGAATGTTGTAGAATTTGTAACAAAATGTATTCTCTGTCTGATGGTTAAAGCTGATCATCAAAAGCCAAGTGGTCAAATACAGCCCTTACCTATACCTGAGTGGAAATGGGAAGACATTGCAATGGATTTGTAATTGGATTACCTAGGTCAAGGCAGAGTCGAAATACAATATGGGTTGTTATAGCAGATTAACCAAATCAGTTCATTTATTACCAATCAACCAGATATATTCAATGGAGAAGTTGGAAAAAATATATGTTGAAGAAATTGTGAGATTGCATGGAATTCTAAAATCAATAGTTTCTGATAGAGATGTCCGATTCACTTCTAATTTGTGGAAGAAATTTTATGAAGCTATGGGTACCAGATTGAATTTTAGTATAACATTTCATCCTCAAATAGATGGGCAATCATAAAGGACAATTCAAACTTTGGAGAATTTATTGAGGTTATGTTTTTTAGATTTTGAAAGTTGTGAGACTCACATACTGTTGATTGAATTTACATACGATAGTTATCAATCTAGTATTAGAATGACATCGTACGAGACTCTTTATGGAAGAAAGTGCATGACACCATTTTGTTGAGTAGAAACAGAAGAGAAAAATAATTGGTACTAAACTGATAGATGATGCTACTAACAAAATCAGATTGATAAGAGATAGACTAAAAGCAGTACAAGACAGACAACGAAAATATTATGATACAAAGCACAAGCCAGTTGAGTGTGAAGGAGGATTTGTTTTTCTAAAGGTCGATCCAATGAAAGGTGTGCAACGATTTGGAAAGACAAGAAAATTGAGCCCACGATTCATAGGTCCGTTTGAAATCATTGAAAGAATTGGAAATATGGCTTACAGATTGGATCTGTCAATGCATATACAAGGAATTCATAATGTGTTTCAAATATCAGTACTTTGAAAGTATGTGTCAGATGAGTCAAAGAGAATCCAGTCCAAATCAATTGACTTGCAGCCTGATTTGAAATATGTTGATGAACCTGAAATGATACTGGAATATGATGTAAAATAACTGAGGAATATAACAATACCTTTTGTAAAGATTTTATTGAAACATGGATAAAAAAGAAATGCTACTTGAGAGAAAGAAGCATAAATTAAAGTACAATATCCTCATTTAATTAAAGGTATGTTTTCTTATACTTGATTCAAACTTCGGAAACAAAATTTTTATAAGGAAGATTGTAATAACTGGTTCATCTGGTCGGTTCAATTGAGCCAAACGGTTCAATTGAACCGGTCAGCCAATTTTAATAATCCCGCAAATAGATATGGGCAAACAGAAGGGCGGAACGAGATAAGAACGACTAAACCCGTGCACAGAAGGATTCAGAGAGTTCTTTTCGCCATTTTTAGCAAGTGACCGGGTTTAGGGATAAGAATCACCAACAACTTTTCATTTTTATCACTAAAGTGGTAAATTGGAAGAAATGTCAATGAACGAGAAGAACGACCGAGAAGAATAAGGAAGAAGGTTTGTTAAGTTTTTCTTTCCATTTTCGCATAAATGCTCTTATTTTACTTCATCTAAAGCAAGAGATATTTTTCATAAGGGAAAAGGGATTGAAAGCAAGGAGAAAGAAATTGGGAGAGAAGGAAGAAGAAGGAATTGAACTTTGAAAATTCCTTCTTAAGGAAAGGAAAGTGATTAGTTTAAGGTTATGTTTCATTTCTCGTTTCTTTTATTGAATAAATAATGAGAAATATATTTTAATTTAGGTTGGAAGAATCCAAGTGTATATAGACTTTGGTTTGATGGTGGAGGAACGAAGATTTGGGAGAAAGTAAAGGAATATTGTGAGGTAAATTTAGTGGAAGAAATCAAATATTTATTGAGATATTTAATTGATATTTAATAATAATTAAATTATTATATTATTGTGAACAGTAAAGATTTTCAATATTGGACGAATATTAAAATAAAAAAATTAAGTGCATAATGATAGTTGTTTGACATTTCATTATTTTATTTCCCAGTTTATTTTGAAAGAAGTGTTTACATAATTGTTTTGCTTATTTTGAGTCTAGCATGAATAAAGTAATGTAAACTTTAAATATATATATGACAGTATACATCAATTATCATGATAAAGTATGTAAAGATGACATGAATATGTGAAAAAAATATAAAAGAAATAGAAAGTAAAGTTAGAAAGCAATTATGCAGATATATGATACTTATATATATTTAGAAACTATATATTAAAGAAATGATATATTAATGAATGAAAAATAAATGGAAAAGGGAAAAAAATAAGCATGCAAATTTACAGGAGTTCATCCCCATATGATGCCAACTGGAGAAGCAACGTACCCGTGCATGTAAAAAGAAAAAAGTTATGGAAAAAGAAAAGAAAAAGAAAATGGTTGTACCTTTGGTATATTTAAATAGAACTCATGTAGTAATTAAATGGGAAAAGAAATACATACTTATAAATGAATATAATATGATATGTATAAAGAAATAAATGGAATGAAATGAACAAAAGAAATGTATATCAAATATTAAATGAATAGACATATATCAAATGTTATATGTATTGTACTTCATACATGTTAATTGTTATAGAAGTTACCCACTCAGTTTATTTTGTAAACTCATTCCATTAAATAAATATTTTTAGGTTAAGTCTCCAAAGATTTATAAATGGCTGAAGATAATAGTATGTCTATAGAAGACGGCGCAACAATGAAAACAGGTAAATTATAACTGATGTAAATGTTTAGTTTGTCAAAAATAGTATGCATAGATTGAATATAATATTTTGTAATAGTGGTTCTTCAGTTGTTTGGAGAAATTTTAAGTTAAAATTTTTAGTAATATGAATTGAATTGTTACTACTGTCCGACTTTTTGTTCCCGCCTCGTCTAATCAGGTATCTGGGTCGGGTCGTGACATCACAACCACTAGAATTGTATATCATATACTCAATCATTATTTTAATAATTCTAAGACCAATATCTTCTAAATATTTCTGCCATTCTTCTAATTCTCACTTGCTTTTAGTGGATTTCTCACCTAATTAGAGCACATGAAAATAATCTATGTAACATAAACAAATTAAGATCTATTTTAGAGATAATTATGAAAAACAATTCAGAACTTGACTATATAAGAATTATGAAAGAATGCTGCCTTTGAACATCATCAAGAAGTAATGAGCTTCATATGGCGTGAAAGAAAATCTCTAAGTAAAGGGGATTGGATATGATCATAAATTTGCTAATAAGAGAAAATATAGTTACATCAGAAACATCCAAATAAACAAAATGTTTAAGCATGGTACTAGCAGGACTACATGTTTTCAAATTTAAAGGGGCATTCTGCAAAAAATAAAGTCACATAAGTGCATATACGTTCAGTTACGTCTAATAAATTGACAAAATTTGAAGAACACAAGTTTTTTGATATCTTGTAACAAACCTTGACAAGCTGCCTAACATTTGGTTTATTAGATCCAAACTTTCCTATAACAGAGTCAGCATATTCTTGATATTGCTCGATGATCTGTAAAAATAAAATTATAGACAATGACGTATGCGCTACAAAATCAGAAAAGTGAAGATGAATAGTAATTGACAAGATAAATTTGTCGCTGAACCTGGCGCCGAGAACATCTATGAAAGGGAACACCATATATTGCAACATCAACATGTCCTAGAGTAAACCATGGGCTGCAGATATTGTGCTAAAATAGTTATCTATCAAAAGTAAAAACAAATAACCCGATCACATGAAATACACTACGTTATGCAATATTCTAGAGAAGTAACATCAGATTAACCATTTAAAATTAACAACCATTCCTGAAGTCTAAGCATGCTCTTTGCAGATTTGGTTTCTGTAGCAGAGATCTAAGATTTTGTTGTATGAACTTGGCCATTGGTTTCTTATAAATGTTTTCTTTTTTAGCTAAAGAAAACAATAACGATATGAATTAAGCTATTCAATCAACTAACTAAACAAAGGTTTGCCGAGAACAGTTAGAACTGGGACTCATCAACTGCTACATTACCTTCCGCAGCAAAAGAGATCATAAGGGGTTATTTCCAATTTGTGAGGTAAAATTAACTACTGCGCAATAGCTTCTCCATTAAGTTCAGGATTATGATTCACAGACACTGACACGGCGACATGGATATGATACGACATAGACACGAGACACGAGTTGAACACGGTATTATAATTTTTATATTTAAGAAATAGTGTATAAAAATTGAATAAGTATAATCTTAAAAATAATTTAGAAATAATAAATCATTTAACTAGAATTTGTGCTTAAAATGATTAATATTACGATATTGAGAGTCGGGCGTCGATGCCGTGTTTCAGGCATCGAGAGAGGAGACGATAATACTGTCGAGAGTCGGTATCAATGTTATGCAGTAAGTATCGGTTTCAATGTTAAGAGGGCATCTGTCATCGATGTTGAGAGGGCATTGGTCGTCGATGTTAAGACGACATAGGAAAAATATGAGATGTCAAGTTGTCGGTGTAGAAATTACTAGCATCGAATATCAATGTCAAGACAGTGTCAAACTTTGATGTTGAGATAGTTTTGAAATGTCGATGTTATAATGACGTTAGACATCAATGTTGAGATGATATCGGGCATTGTTGTAAAACAAAAGTCGCGACCCACCAAAGAGAAATTAAAATAAGAATATTCAATAAATGGGGTATTTAGTGCGGGCAACTAATTTGGTGTTGTAGATAGGAAATAAGAAATTTAGTTTTATATTTTAAAAAAATTATAAAATATTTAAGACACGCGTGCCCAATTTGTATTCAATATTTTTAATCGGACACATATTTTGTGTGTCCAACATATGTCGGAAGCGTGTCAAACGTGTGTAGTGTCGGGCACTGCACGACTCTTTGAGGAGAAGTGTCGGTGCATCACAGGTTCAGGATAATATAAATTGCTTTTAAATTTCGAAATTGGTAAAACAAATTAGATGCATAGAACCTCTTCCCATGAATGTGAAAAAGGGAATAGTCACATCAATAATGGTGATGAGTTAGTTAAGTAATCAATAACATGACTTCAAATGCAAGTTTGGGAAACACAAGCACTTCCATAATTTTAAGCACGTTCATAGTTCATCATCGACAAAGATAATTACTGACTTATAAGCTTACTTGTTGTTGACCTCATTTTTGAATGAGGTCTGAGCTTTCTATCATCTCTTCCTAGCATTTAGGTAATCCTACCCTAGTGTAGAAGGCACATGTAGGATTCCCGGTAGGTTAACTCCCTATGGCATAGGATTGACTCAACATAGAGCACTAATAAGCATTTACTGCCTTTCAATGACTCCAGGTAAAATTGATAGATTCTTCTTCAACAAATCAAATCTCGTCGGCCCCTTAATGTCGATATAGTCAAAACCAATTTGGCTTCAAATGATTTGATGTAAATCACGGGGTTTGAGATATCAGTCGATGTTCTGATGTCGGTTATTTTATTCCCTAACTAAGGGTTTTAGTTTTCGGTTATGGTTAAAAGTTGTAATCAAGTATCTTTTATTTTGTTTTAGGGTTAGAGTTTGCAATTAGTGATTTAACATTTGAAATTATGCCAAATCATTTGAAATCAAATTGGTTTTGACTCGATCGACATTAAGGGGTCGATGGGATTCGATTTGTTGAAGACGACTCTATCAATTTTATCTAGAGTCATCGGAAGGCATCTCTAAATGCTTATTGGTGCTCTATGTTGGGTCAACCCTATGTCATCAGGAGTCCACCTGGAGGGAATCCTACATGTGTCTTCTACACTAGGATAGAAAAACATGACCTCATCCAAAAATGAGGTCAACACTTGCATCACAACATACGCATGAATTTAGATACATTACATTATAATCATATTGCATGATATGCAAGAAGTGATTATAATTCGATAAATGTAGATCAACTTGAATAGATAAAAGGAATCCAAAGGGGCCAGCAATAGAAAATAATGCACCAATATAATCATATGAATACTATAGGAAAAAAATCAGCATATTAATCATGTTACTATCTCATTCATCACTAGAAAAAATAAATTTTGCCAGTGTGAGTGTGAAATCAATGTATAACATAGCATGCATAAACCTGGTCATTGCTAAAGCTAGAGTTGGACCTGAACCAACCCAAACTTCAAGCTTGGAAGATTTTTAAAGCTTATCTTTCTGCTTCAATAGAAACAAAAACAATATCTGCAAGCTTCACCGTATTCCATAAATGAGAAAAATAAATGAATTACATAGCAAAAGATATATTTAGGACAAATATAAGATATGATTTGATACTCATATTTGATATAGACCAGGTCCAGCGAAGCTTTCATCAGTTTCATGTAATGTTCCAAACCAGTACCTATCAACCATCAGATCAACCCACGCTTATTTTTCTTTCTTTGCCTATGCTTATGTCCAAGGCTACCAATAATCTCATGCCATAGTGACTAATTGATTGCCCGCCTATCAAAACCAACACTTTCCCACCAATGTTCCCAGAGCTTTTTCTTACTAAATAAACCTTCCTTTTGCATACACAACACAACCAGCCTTGGTACACAAAATTTCAAATAGCCCCTTCCTAAAAATCTTGGTTTTGAACCATCAAAATAACATCAAAATAAAAATAAATCAATGAGCTGTTGCAAATATTATATTGTGTAGAACTTAAGACAAAGAAAATGTTGGCACTTCAACATGCAGCTAAGTCTCTTGGACTATAAAACTTAATAATATTCTCCTCAAAATTATTAATGAATTAATAAATAAAAAGTATAGTAGTAGTAATATACATTGTAAGTTCAACAAAAAAACTTGCGTAGTTAATTGCCGTGAAATCCAAGATGTCCTACAACTGTAATGAAATCATTAGAAAAATGTTAAAATCCTTCAAATTTAGCATAAATAGTTAATACTTATTATAAGCAGCACGACCAACCATGACACCACTTGCCCCTTGCCTTATTGCTGCATCAACCTGAAATGGAGATGCAATTTTAAGAAATGATCTGGAATAAACTATTATATCCCAATTTTTTTTTAAAGCAAAAACAAGTATTAATAGCAATAAATGAAAAGAGTACAACGTGAAGAAAATAAATAATAATACTAGAGGAGAAAAAAAAAACTAAAAAATAAACAAGGCTAACAAGTGACAAATGAACCAACAAGCACAACAGAAGAACCCCAAGAGCCCTCCTTAAAAACATTTGACTTAAAGCCTGGTATATTTTGAAGAGTTGTGATATACTTTCTTCGTTTTCTTTCCTCCTGAATATAGAATTTGAAACTTCTTATCCACCAGCTCTTGTATGCTAGAAATGCTAACATCAAAAGCAATAGAAAGAATCTAAATTACCCATGTCCCCTATAGCAGGAATAAAATCAAGAGAAGAAAAAAAGCTTGTGAGTCCGGATCATTAATTATAAGTCTGGAGTCAATCTTAATCATTGAGCTAACCCGAGAAGGCAGGATCCAAAGTTGATTCACAATTTTAAAAATAAGCTATATCAGAAGTAGTCAAAATTGCCACCAATGTTTTTCATGTAAAGCAAACTACTATAACCAAATAATGATATGAGTACTTAATGGGCAACTACTAAGAATTACTAGAGAAGAAAGAACAACAGAAGCCCCAAAAAAATAAAACATGAAGACCAGCTCATAGATCATGGAAGATACAAAAATACCCATTTAGATATTTTTACTTTAGCCTTATGAAAACAAAGTAGTGATAGATTTTTTTTTTTTAATTCCTGTCCCTTCTTGTGAATTGAATTTGAAACCATGGTTTAAAATTGCGCAATTTGAGGCTCTGAGGCCCGCCTTTGCGCAATTCCAGTAAAAAACACCTCAATGCTTACGCCTCGAGTTTTTTTTATGAGGCTTGCGCCTCAACTTGGTTGAGGCCCACCTTGAGGCCCGCCTCGCCTCACTGGCATGAGGCTTACGCCTCACGCTATATATATTAAAACTTATATAAATCTTGAAGTAAATGCCCGACATTGGACTCTATAGGAGAGGAGGAATGGGAGAGAGTAGTAATCATAATGATGATTCAAATGAAAAACCCCTTAATTATGACAGTGCTGATGACTTATGAGTTCTTATGTGATATGTCATTGCTATTTATTTTTGGAAATTGAAATTATATTTTAATGAAAAGAATATTGACTGGGAAAGATGGAATTTTGAGTTGAATTATATTTCATGTTGTCTTATTATTGGGATATTTTGATTTCACTTCATATCTTATGCTTTTTTATGTTTTATATTATTCACTCATTAGTATATAAAAAAATTATCATTTTATGTTTACGCAATCTTTTGATTCTGAGGCTTACGCCTCAAAACGTCTTGAGGCTTGCGCCTCGCCTCACGAATGAAAAATGCCTCAATACCCGAATACGCAATTTTAAACATTGTTTGAAACCTTATATCCACCATTAATTTGAAACTCTAGATACTTGCATATGAATAAAAAAGTCACTAACAAAATATGATCAACAATAACATCATCAAGTTTTTATCCCACTACATGGGGTCGGTTACATGAATCGTTTTTCTCCATTATATCCTATCAAGAGTTAAATTCTCATTTAAATCTAATAAAAAGAACATTTCTAATACTTTCTAAACAAGTCTTTTTAGGTCTACATCTACATTCATTAATATAGACCGAATCTAATACATCTACTCTTCTAACCGGCTCATCAGAAAGCCAATGAATTATATGACTAAACCATCTAAACCAACTCTCCCTAATATTATCTTCCAATGGATCTACTCCAACCTTTTTCACGTATATACTCATTTCGCATTGTTTCTCTAAGTGTAAAACCACTCATCCACTTAAGCATCTTCAGCTGTGCAACACTTAATTTTATGCTTCTCTTTTAATGATCAATACTTTGAGCCATAAAGCAGTTCAGGCCTTACCACCATCTTATAAATCCCTCAAGTTTGAGGGGTACTTTTCTATCACACAACTGACTTGATGCATTCTCCACTTCAACCATCCAACTTGAATTCTATTAATAATATTCACATCTATTTCACTATTGCTTTGAACAATAGATCAGAGATATCTAAAATATACACTCTTTTTAATGGCTTGATCACCCAATGTCACAATCCCACCACTAGATATATTACTACTAAAATTATACTCTATGTATGCAATTTGAGATCTACTCAAATGAAAATATTTAGACTCCAAGGTTAACCTCCATAATTCAAGTTTTTTTCAACTACCTCTGTAGTCTTATCAACAAGAAGTACAACATCAACAAAAAACATACGCCAGGGTAAACCCTTTTGTAAATGTCTAGTAAGAACATCTATGACTAAAGTAAAAAGATATGGGCCTAAAGCTGATCCTTGATACAATCCAGCTGAAATAGGAAAATACTTGATCAAACCATCTTGTGTTTCAACACAAGTAACAACTCCTAAAAATTCTAGCATAGATTGCCTTTAAAAAAAGTTTTATAATAATATAATTATGGTCAATAGGCCCAATGAAATAGTCATGTACATAAGGCATGAATTTACATATTACCTCTAGGTTGGGTTGTCCCATAGAGAATTTGCCAACAATTGAGAAAAAGTGGTCTAGCAAGCATAGGAATCTCGCCATCATTTAAGATGAGAGTAGGCTTGTCTTGATAAGTGGATTGCTTTTATTGTTTAATTTCCATTGTATCTTGGTGGAAAAATAAGGAAAAGTGGTTGGATCGAGAGCAATGTATGCCTAAAACATTAAAGCCACCAACATCATTTGCAAAGAAATGAGGAAGGCGGGCACTAGAGACAAAGCTTCCAAAGGAGAGGAAACTAGGTGAGGAGCAACTAGGAAACAAGGAGCCATTTAAATAGGAGGTGGCAACCTAACAGGAAGAACAGAAATCCATTGTATGTGAGAAAATAGTTGAAGATGGAAATTTGAGGTGTGCCTAACTGTTGAAGGGATCAAGAGTGAGCTTTAACCACGCACAAGAAAAGGAAGTGTGAGATGCCCATGACATGAAACGTCAGTGTCAAGAAGTGATCAAGAGCATACATTGCACTCGTTCACATTCGCGCAAGAGAAAACGATTGCCAAATCACGCGTGCATGATAGACAGGGGGCACAAAACAAGGGCAAACAATCTTAAAAAAATCATGAGCAAAGCATGCAATGCATAGAGTTTGAACATGAGGCAATCGTGTAAAGTGCTTATGAGTACCGATCAAAAGCATGCATGGAGCAAAATGTATTTTGGTGACCAGGATTAAAAAGAAGTATCGCAGAATTTGAAGCAAAATGTATTTCTTATCCAATGATTAAAGCATAGCATCAAAATCCAGGTAGACAATTACAACCTTTACCAATACAGAAGTGAAAATGGGATAAAATTGTAATAAATTTTGTAATTGGATCACCTAAATCAAGACAGAGCCATGATGTTATATGAGATATTTTGGATCAATTGACAAAGTCTGTTTATTTTTTACCAATCAAACAGACTGATTCAATGGTAAAATTAACAAAAGAATATGTTTATGAAATTATGAGATAACATGGGATGCAAAAATCTATAGTATCTAATAGAGATGTTATATTTATCTCTAGATTATAGAAGAAGATTTAAGAAGCATTGAGTACTGGATTGACATTCAGCACTGCACGTCATCCTCAATGCGATGAGCAACCAGAAAAGACAATTCAAACTTTGAAGGATTTACTTTGGTTATGTGTATTGGATTTTGATGAAAATTGAGAATTTCATCTTCCTTTAATAGAATTTACTTATAATAATAGTTTTCAATCAAGTATTAGAATGGCAGTATATGAAATCCTATATGAGAGAAAATGAAGGACAAATTTATGTTGGGAAGAGATAGGAAAAAAAAGTGATTGGTACTGAATTTGTGGATGATGCTACTAATAAAATTAAAGTAATCAAAGACATATTGAAGGCAGTGTATGATAGACAACGAAAATATTATGATGCAAAGTACAGATCAATTGAATTTGAAATTGATGAATTTATTTTTATTAAAGTTAATCTAATGAAAGGTGTACAGCATGTTGGAAATGCAGGGAAATTAAGCTCACGATTTGTTTGACCTTTTGAAATTATTAAAAGGATTAGAAAAATAGCTTATAGGTTTACTCCACTAGAGCATATGCAAGGAATACACAATATTTTTTATATATCTGCACTTTGAAAATTTATATCAGATACAACAACAACAACATCAAGCCTTTATCCCACTACGTGGGGTTGGCTACATGAATCATTTTTCTCCATTGTGTCCTATTAAAAGTCAAATTCTCGTTTAAATCTAATAAAGAAAGGTCATTTCTAATATTTTTTAACCAAGTCTTTTTAGGTCTACCCCTACCTTTCTTAACATAAGTCAAATCTAATACCTCTACTCTCCTAACCGGGTCATCGGAAGGCCGCCGTTTTATGTGACCAAACCATCTAAGGCGACTCTCTCTAATCTTATCTTCTACTAGAGCTACTCCAACCTTTTCACGTATATGCTCATTTCGTATCTTATCTCTAAGGGTAAAGCCACTCATCCACCTGAGCATGCTCATCTCTGCCACACTTAACTTAGTATTATGCTTCTCTTTTAATGACCAACATTTGCTAGAATCATTTGAGTTACAGCTTGATTTGAGATACGTAGAAGAACTAGAAAAAATACTAATATGATGTAAGACGAATAAAAAATCAAGAGATATCATTTATGCGGATTTTATAGAAGCATGGGATAGAATGAGAGCCCTCATGAGAGAAAGAATCAGAAATTAGAGCTCAATATCTATAATTATTCAACTAAGGTATGTCTAATTACTCTTCATTTAAATTTCAAGGAAGAAATTTTTATAAGGGGAGACTGTAAGAACCGGCTAGATTGGTTCAATCAAACTGGTCCACTTACGTATAAGGATTCAGTGAGCGGAAAAATAGGCAGAGCGA